CCCTTTTCTTTGTTCTTCTGCAGGGCCCCCTCTGGGACCGGGGCAGGGATGTGCAAAGGAAGGGGCTGCTGCCCTGCCGTCGCTGACTTCACTGCCGTTTGGAAAACTGCACCCCTAGGGATGCTGCTGGAAAGCCCTTTGTGAGGGTAAGAGTCCTTGTCCTCCCCCTGGCCAGAAGGGTACGATCTGGTGGATAGACCGGGCAGCACTCCTTCAGGCAGCCCCACGTGCCGCAGGGTCAGGCGCCTCTATGCCGCACTGTTGGACGCTTAGCCTGGAAAATGCAGCGGTGGAAGAGCTGGGACCCCCTTGAGTCCCAATTTATTTAACATCAGAGCAGCCAGACGGGGTCAGACCAAAGGTCCATCAAGCCCAGGGTCCTGTCTGCCCACAGTGGCCAATGCCAGGGGCCCCAGAGGGAGCGGCCTGGCCGGGCCCCTGGACAACCATTGCCATTCCTTGTGGTGGTGAAGCCATTTCACAGGCATTGCCCGCCCCAAGGTCAGTTTCAGAAGGTGCTGGTGTAGTTACAGGACTCACTAGGGATTGAGAATAAGACAGAAAATACCTTATTGCCTCTATGTAAACCCATAGGCCTCCCACAGCTTGAATACGGCGTGCAGATGTGGTCGCCTCATCTCCAAAAGATCTCTTGGCATTGGAAAAGGTTCAGACAAGGGCAACAGAATGATGAGGGGTTTGGAACAGGTCTCATATGAAGAGAGAGAAACAAGACGGAGACTTTTTAGCTTGGAAAAGAGGAGACTACATGGACTATGATGGGGGGGGTCTATAAACTCATGACTGGTGTGGAGAAAGTGAATAAGGAAAGGTTCTGGACTTGTTCCCATCATATAAGAATGAGGGGTCACCCAATGAAATGGATAGGCAGCAGGTTTCAAACAAACCAAAGGAAGGTTTTCTTCACACAGTGCCCAGTCAACATGTGGAACTCCTCGCCAGAGGACGTGAGGGCCAGGACTTTATCAGGGTTCAAAAAAGAGCTAGCTAGATTCATGGAGGTCAGGCCCATCAATGCCTGTTAGCCAGGATGGACAGGGCTAACGTGCCTATTTCTCTCTGGTTGTCAGAGGCTGGGAAGGGGCCACAGGAGGGATCACGTGAGGATTCCCTGTTCTGTTCACTCCCTCTGGGGCACCTGACGCTGGCTGCTGGGCTGGAGCCCCCTGCCTGCGGTTGCAGTTCGCTGCAGTGTGTATGTGGTTGTGTGTACCGGGGGAGGGCCTGTGCTCTTACTGGCGCTTTGCTCTCCTCCTTCCCTGCAACCTTTCCTCTCCATATGCAGCCAGTAGCTGTTGGAAACCCAGCCCCCCAGAGGGAGGGGAAGCGAGGGGAGTTTTGGTAACCAGTGTTTGGTTCTTTAAAGGGTTTCATACCACGGACAGAGGAATACTTCCCTTTGGGGTTAACCAAAGACTTGATTTCTATTTACTTGTATAACTAATGTGTAATTTAAATTAATTCACTATCCTTACAGAGTAGAAAAAAGAGGAGAACAGTAACCCCTTCTACAGTTCTACCCGCCAAAGTTACCTTTGAACAGTTCGTGGCGTTCTCAGACATACCTATGGAATACTTACCTTAAGATGGATAGAAGCATTGTTTAGATTCAGGAGATATTCTTTTCTTTATGTCTTTGCTTTTGGATGTTTTGTTGCAACTTATGACCGGTGTTCCCCTTTCGGAGCTTACGAGCAACAGCAAGATTCAGCGCTGGGGAGGGAGCCCTGGTTGATCAGACCTGGCTTTTCGGATTCGCAACCCGTCCGCTTTTGGTCTGTTTAGTTCAACCTTTTTACCGTGTTTCGGTATTTTTCCTCTTGTCTGACTTTGCTGACATTACTTTTTGTTGTCTCATTCGGCTCCCCCCCCCCTTTTTTTTTTGGCATTGTATTTTACTTTTGTCTGCTTCTTATTTGGGGTTATCAGCACTTTGTTGCTTTTCCTGTTTTTGTTACTTTTACTTCCCTAAAAGCAGGGTTATTGTTGGTCATCCAATCAAATTTGGGTTTCTCGTTTACGTCTCCTGTATCTTGACAATGCTGCCTTCCTTTTACACTTCCAACTAAATTAGTGCTCATTTGACATACACTGGGTAGGCCTTAACATGTCCTTTTCACACTGACGAGAAGCTGTTGCAATTAGCCGTAGAGCGAACCCTGTTTCTGAGCCCTGGTTCTGTTTTGCAGGGTCAGGCCTGCCCGTCTCTTCCCGACGTGGGACCCTGGCGCCGAGCCCACGGCTCAGTTGTGGAGGACCCAAGATGTCTGCGGGTCCGAGTCGGAAACCTGAGCCTGAGGACACACGCCCCTTGCAAGAGAGGAAGCTGCCCTTTGCCAGCACAGCAGTCGGGGCCTTCTGCCAAGAGCAGGCCAGGCTTGGGAACCCGGACTTGGACGACGCTTTCCTTCAGTGTTCCTTGAGAACACACCTGCCGCCCAGGTTTGAACCGCGTGTGTGTGTAGTACAGTCCCTTCGTGCCGAAACGGGGGCACCTTTGCATTGCCGGGACGAGGAGCTGGAACTGTGGTGCTCCAGGCTCCGGCTTACGGGGTTTCCATCCTCTCCTGGGTTTACAGTTCAGTTCAGTGGCTCTCGGTGTTGCCTCTGTGCTGCAGAGAGAAAAGCGCGGAACCGTATTCATGCCCAGGGCTTCCTCTTCCCATTCATCCACAAGTGCTGATGAAAACCGGAGAGGGGACATGCGCGTGTTCCCGCCGAAGTGAAAAGGGTTTCACGGAGTCTCGTGGTAGGTTTGGGCGAGAGGCGGCAACTCTGTTCTGTTGGGCTAGCGATGCTAAGCCTGGAGTAAAAAATCAGGGAATAAGCTAATCCCTGGTAACCTAACCCATGCCAGCACAACCCACACTGTGCTGTCATGCCCTCCACCCCCAGGGCTGCGAGAAGCAGCGCAGCTCTCCGAGCTTGTATCCCAGGGTTCGTAGCACCACAGCGCTGTGTGCTCACGTGTCGGGTGTTGTGGGACAGTTTGCCTGCCTGCTCTGGTAGCCGCAGGCTGCTGTGTGGACATTTTTATACTGTGCCACACGCCAGACTTGTATGAAGCTGAAGAAGCACCCAGCTGGGCGCTGAGCGAGGGGAAGAGGTTGTGAATTCAAACCGATCGATTGCTGGTTCCAGGCTTCTGGGAAAGGATCGGACCATCGGGTCTTGATGGTTCACCTAGGTGCTGCCTCCTTGGGGGCTGCAGGGCCAGAGCACCTCCGGGGGTAAAATGGGGGGTTCTCAGCATTCCCCCGATCCACTCCCTGCTTGCCCCGCTGATTGGCTTCTTCCCCGTGCCCCGCCGCAGTCAGACATTTTGCCATGTGCCGGGGGGGAGCGAGGGCACCGCTCAGGGGTGGGGCCGGGTTGAGCACTCCCAGGCAGTTTGGAAAGTCAGCGTCTCTGCTTGTTCTGACCGCGACTGGGGCAACAGGCAGTCTCAGGGTAGTAATGCACGTACAGCAGAGGCAGCAATACTTTTATTGGGTGGCACTTAATGACTTTTAGTACGTGGTCGCGGGCTGGTGGTATGTAGAAAGCTGCTCCCCATAGGAAGACTTTAGGGGCACTGAGCATGCTCAGTACCTCTGCTGAAGCCCCTGCCCACGCAGGGTATAAGTTTCTGCTGGCTGCATTTCATAGGGGCGAAAGAGGGGACATGAAGCCTCGTAAGGTTTCACAGCTTTGTTTGAGCTTCGGCCGGGGGGTCTCTGACTCACTGCAACCCATTTTCATCGGTGCTTTGCCACCTTGCAGATGGTCCTGCTGTTACTTTGCTAGCCCTGTGCTAGTGTTGGGCTGGCCGGGAAGCCGGAGGTACTGACCTGAGCCATTCGGGCTGTGGTCTTCGGACAGCACTTGCTGCCTTTCATTGGAACTTTACAGCACTTGCCAGCCAGGCAGGCTAACGCCCCAGTCTCGGCTTGAACCAAAGCCGATCGGCAGCCACGGGGGAAGACGCACCTAAACCCCTCCCCTCCTGCGCCTCGCTCCATTTGGACAGAGACTGGAGAACAGATCCAACACAAGAACCGCACAGCCTGCTGGGAATCCCTGCTCCAGGTGCTAATGACCCCTCCCCTGCACACACCCCTGTCGGTAATGCTCAGGTCGATTCGAGGAAAAAGTCCTCGCCTGCCTAATTGAATGAGGCGGCCCCTCTAAGGCCGGGGTGGAAAACCCGCAGGCTGGGAGGCTCTGGACTCCCTCCCACGCCCAGCACCAGGGCAACTCGGCACTGATGCGTCAGCCACGCGGGGAGGGGCTCCCAGGCTGGGAAGGGACCCTGAGTCTCGGGAGCCAGATCCGGGCAAGCCGCAGGCAGCCTCTTCAGAAGGGAGGACGCGGCTCTGTGAAGAGCTGCACAGGGAAGCTCTGTGTCCCCGCTCGCTTGCAAGCTGCACCCCGCTCGGGTACAGGCGCACAGCCGTGTAGGACCGGGATGTAAGGGTGTCACCGTTTCATCAGCTGATTGGCTTCCATTCCGGCTGTGTCGTTTCCCGGCTGCCAGCCCTGCTCCTGGGCGCCGGCTGTCCCCTGCGCTGCAGTATGAAGCTGTGCAGTCCGCAGCGCGTGGGACGGTGTAACTGGGAGGATTGTTAACAGGGACATGCGTACATTGTAGCTGTAGTTTACATCCCTAGTATACAGCCGTTCGCACAGCTCCGGGAGGTGTCCCCAGTAATCCGCCCCTGTCCCGTCCTGCCCAGACCCTGCTCCTGCACTCCACCTCCCTCCAGACTGCCCATCTTCCCTCTGCTCCTGTACCCATCCAATGGCCCAAGCAGACCCTGAATCTCCACCCCCTCGGCGCCTGCTGCCCAGGAAACACCGACGGCACGCCACCCTGGGCCCTAGAAGAGTGCACCTGGACGGTCCCTCAGTGCTTTGGACAGTGGCTCGGAGACCGGGGGCCACCAGGTAACAAACCCCCAAATATAAGGGCAGAAGCCGAGGGAGGCACCTGGGGAGCAAGGAGAGCTGGGGCTGCCTTGCTGTGCCTCCCCCGCTGCTGCTGGGATAGGCAGAGCCGAGGAAGAGAGGGAGGGATGGGCGCGGGGGATTGTCCTGGCCCTTCCCCAGCCCTCCTGCCGTCCCCTCACCTCCCCAGCCCCCTGCACTGAGAGAGTGCCCGCGCAAAGGTGGGGGAATGGTATCCCCGATGCGGTGAATGTCACCATCCCCACTAGGCAGGCACTGCCGGCCCCCGGCTGGGCCCCCGGCTGAGCCACAAGCGTCTGTCCGGGGCATAGGAATAGTCTCAGGACCATACCTGGGGCCAGCAGCTATGGCAGGGGGAATCTCAGGGAAATCCTCTGTCCCGCAGTGGGGGCTCCCTGCTCTCCCTGGGACAGAGGGCCTCCTGTCCAAGCCCTGTGGCCAGAGGGTGGGGCAGGCTGTGCTGGAAGAGGCGCTGGGTGGACGGCTGAGTTCGGTGGCGATTGAAGAATTGTTTGTGTGTGTGTGTACAGCTTCCCTCTGTGTGCTGGCTAGCTGGGGTTTGGAGCAGGGTGTGTGTGCGTGTGTGCGTGTGTGTGTGTGTTGGCTGGCTAGCTGGGGTTTGGAGCAGGGGGTGTGTGCGTGTGTGTGTGTGTGTGCGTGCGTGTGTGTGTGTGTGTTGGCTGGCTGGGGTTTGGAGCACCTCTGCTATTTGGGTGTTTAGTGTGGAGCAGGTCTGGGTCCATCCCCCATTTTTCCCCCTTCCCCTAAGAATCCCCTAGGGAAACTGCGGGGCAGAGCTGGACTACTGGCTATGTGGGGGGTGACACTTGAATAGTTGGGGGAGCCCTTCAATTGTCCCCCCCATCAGCTCAGTTTGAGGGGGAGCTGCTCTTCTTCCCCAGTGGGAGTGAGTGGGGGGTGAGTTACTGAGGCTTGGCTGGACAAACTTGTCTGGTTTAGGAAGGGGCAGAGTATGTTTGAAGCTTTTTGTCCTTTTACAATTCTCAGTCATTGGGAAGTAATGGGGGAGGTCTGACGATCGGTAATGAGCTGAGCTGCAGTGTTCAGGCGTTAAAGCGGTTAAAAAGAAGCAGACACACGAGGTGGGGGAGGTCAAACCTTTTTAAATTTTGGAACAACTTTGATTGGTGAGACATCAGCCCTTCTGAGCGCCACAGACCCGGAGAAGAGCTCTGAGGCGTTCCAGGGGTCGTCTCTGCCCCCAACCAGTCAGAAATATTCCTTCACTCCCCTTGTGGCTCTCACCCTGGTGACGAGGCAGCAACCACCACCACAGCCCATGCAAGATCCACAAGATCAATATCCTGACGCCAGACAGGTTGGTTGATAGAACTGTTCACTCCCTCGTCCATTTGTAGCACGCCCCTAAGGGCCACTGACCCACCGAAAAGTCATTCGGGCCACGTGCAACTGAGGAGCAAAAACCCAACCAAACGGGACCCGGCCCGACGTGGGCCCCAGCTGGGGCGGGGTGGTAGATCTTGTGTGCTCCAGCCCCGAGGGGGGATGGTGGGAGGCCCCCAATGCCGAGGGGAAGCCGTGTAGCTGTGAAAGGAAGGGTTGGCCAAGAGGGACTGAGAACTCCCTTTGCAAGGGGGAGAGACTATAGCCCTGTACTCAGGCGCCAGGGACAGAGTGGCTTCCAAGGGAAATGGGGGGGAAGGGCGCCAAACGCAAGTTCCCCTACGGCTGGCCCTGCGTGCAGGAGTGGGGACCCCGAGCTGCATGGGCCGGATGCGGCATGTGGGGGAGGCATGGCGCTGCAGCCTGCCCCTCCTCCTCCCCCCAGCCGTGGGAACGCGAGGCTGGATCCCGCTCGTGGGAGGGTTTCCCCGGAGTGCCCCTGGGCCAGATTTCGGGGCCACAGCAGTGAGGGGCTTTGGTTTCTTCTTTGTGCTGGGGGGTGTTGCCTCTCACTTGTGTGGCCCCTGACTGACTTTTCTGTAGGTCAGTGGCTCCCGACCCAAGAAAGATTCCCCCCTGCTCTGCAGTTTTCCATAAGAGCATCATCATCTGCAATGGGTGTTGTCGTTTCTCTCACACACTTATAAGTATCTATACAGATATTTAAATGTACAGTGGGTGGGTGTGTGTGTGTATGAAAAATAATGGGGCCCTATGATATCTCGGATGGAAAACCATAGATTTCTATGGGACGGCTACTTTTTACTTCTGGATACCTGAGTACATGGCATACTTTTGTACTTTTCCAGCAGGATACTTTGACTTTATTACATTTCTTCCAAAGCAGCAGGAGTTTTATGCCAGTAGCTTTTTGGGGTACTACTTAGAGAGTGTCCTTACATAGGTCATGAATGAGAACACATTGAGGGGGGCTTGCAGGTACTTTGGACCACAAGCTCCATACGAGTGAACAGTGTAAAACTCCTGCAACCCCTCCTCCCCCTCCCCCAAAAAACAACAACCCTCAAACCTCAGTGTTGTAAGCAAGACACACGATGTAATTCCTGTGC